TACAAGATCTCGGTATATGTCTGTCAAAACCTATGATGTTATTATGTGATAACAAGCCGTCCATAGCAATTGCAAATAATCCTGTTCAGCATGACAGAACCAAACATGTGGAAGTTGATCGACACTTCATCAAAGATCATCTTGACAAGGGTACAATTAGTCTTCCGTTTGTCACATCAAATTGTTCTTATTATGGAGAAAAGGCATAAAGAGCTGGTATTTTATTGGAAAACGAGTTTATTTTTATTTTATCCGATAAATAAATTTGTTTATGGGAAAATGGGTACTCTGTTCTTATAATAGATAAAAATTATAAAGAACTGGTCTTTTATGGGAAAGTGATACTTTAATAATACTTTATGGGCCATTTCTTTTTTTAAAAATATTTAATTTATCTTAAATAGATAACCTATTAATTCCCTTTTTGTAAGCATATTACTATAACATTTTTTCAATTTTACTTACAAACATTGATATATTTATCATAAATTAAATGTTTGAAAGTAAAATCTCCATAAAGAGCCGGTACTTTAAATGTTTTATAAGAATTATTATATCAGGAGTAAATATGAAATTTAATTACATTTAATTTCGAAATACTCATCAAATCAAGCATCAGGAATTGGAATGATGCTAATTCTAATGTGTGAACTAAGCTAAATATTGGAATAAAAAGTTTAATTTCAAAACCAGAGTCTATGATTCCATTTCCATTTCCGATTTCAATCTGTGAAACAAGCACCCCCTTAGTTTGTTCAAAGAACTTAGTAGGAATAAGTTCTTCGTAGATGCAACTAAGGTCAGCTTCAGGATCAAAGAGGGCTTCTGTTTCAAGGATTTAATCATCATAGATAATTAGTTTGATTTGGACCAGGAATTTTTAGTAAAAATTCTAGACAATTGGTTTAGGAATTCTGTATCATCTTGTATGATTGAGTTTTTTGGTATGGTTTCAAAGGATTTTGGTTGTGAGGTAGCAAAGTTTTATAAGACAAGGTTATCTAAATTTTGTTTTGCTTTAATTGCTCTAATTTCTCTTTGAGAAGAGCAATTTCAAGCTAAAGGTCGTGGATTGATATTGGTTTTGTTGGTTTGGATGGGAATTGGTTAAGAATGTCTGTAAGGTTATAGTTGTTAAGAAGTACGGGCTTTCTGGCTAATGGGTCTGACGAAATGTTCGAAGGAATACTTGGTGATTTGTTTAGGGATTTTTTGAATTTATTGAGATAAAACTGTATCTTTTCAGGGTCAAGAAAGGTTTCTACGATGTCGAGGAGAAGGTTCTGTTCCTTTGTCAAGATGTTTACAGTTGCTTGTCCTTATTTTTTCATCTTCATCACTACTGATAGTAGACAAAGAAGAAACATCATCATTCTCAAGTTGGTTTGCATAGTTTTCTTCTTCACGTTCTAAATCATCATTGTCGGCTTCTACAAAGAGGTTGGTTAATTGGTTCAGTACTTGTTTGTCAAGACCAAGGGTGCTGATTCTTTTGTTTAGTTTGCAATATCTGGTTATATATCCAGGTTGTTTGCATCTATGGCAGACAATTGCTGGTAAGACTAGGGAGTTTTGGATAGAAGTTGGGTTAGGATTTTCTGGGGGAGGTAATGGTTTTCTAGGTTTAAAAGGTAGGGTTTTTCTTTTTTGTTGAGAAGGTTTTGATGAGGTTTTACATTTTCTTGTGGTTTTTGTATGATAGTTGGATAGGCCAAACTGTCCACAGAAAGAACCAAAATCCTTTGTTCTTTGTGCTTGGTCTTTTGCACATTGTCTGAGCATCTTGTCTGACCTGCAAATTTTTAGAGCAACTCGTTGGACTTGACTAGTTAGTTATCCGTAGGTAATTGTTTCCCATGGTACAACACCATCATATTGGTTTCATATTTCTTCTCGGACAAGGGCTCTTAATGATTTGGGAAGGCCCTCTAAGAGCTTTCTTTTCAATATGCTTCATGACTATCTGATCTTGAGTATATACGGGTCAGGAAAGTGTCTTTATACCATTGAAAATCTAAAAGATTCCTGCATTGAGATTGTTGAGTAATTCTAAGGACTTGTCTATGAATATCCCTGGATCACCAATGAATATTTTTGCGATTGTGAATATTAGGGTTGCTACTACATTTGAGATAGTTTCAGCAACCTGTAGGATTGATTCTCCATCTGCATCTAGTTTGATTACATTTAGAATTTTCTCTTTGTCTTCTGAAGTGAGATATACATCCCACCATCCTTTGAGCTGTCCTATAAATCCTGTAATGAGACATGAGTTCGGTATGCTTCGTTCATGAAGAGGCTTTTGATTTAGTAAGAAGGTGTTCTCTTTGGGTTTGTAGATACTTGTTGGTATAGTTATATTACTCATAGAGTTCCTATATATCTTGTGCATCTACTGGACCTCCTTCTTAGGCGACTTTTAGTTTAAAAGGTTTGGCACTAATTTCTATGAATTTGTATAAGAAAGTATTGGACCTTGATGCGTGAATTTCCCCTTCTAATGTTTGCCATTTTTTTTGAAACACACAGTGATAGCGAGAATAGGTACTCTATTTCATTCCTTAGAGCATAGATCTTGGACCAGTCAAAGAAGTGAATGTGTTGTTTTTTCTTCCTAGGAAACTGTAGAAAGTTTCTTGGATTACCTTCCTTGGTTCTCCTTTGAAGTTGTCAAAGAACCACTGTCTCTTTGGTTGATTGTGTTCTGTATAGAATTCTTTTCCGAGACTCTCCTTGTTGATCTGGTATTCAGAAGTAAAAAACTCTCACTGTTGGCTGTGGATTGTTTGTCGTGGTTGAATATATACGAGATACAGGAAGATCTACTTGGACAGTATTTTCTTCAGAGGATTCTCCTTGATTTTCTGAAGTAGCTTCTGTTTGAATTGTATATCTTGCTTGAGGGATTTTTGAGGATAGATTCAAGTTGTGTAATCTGGTAGAGATTGAAGAAGTTGAACGTCTTCCAATATTTGAAATATCCATACTGGTATTGGTTGAGGAAGAGGCCCTAAAGCTCCTCGATCTATCAAACTTGATTTGAACTATCCTACTAGTGAGTTGTTTGATACTCGAAACTGTTGTGTTTTGGATTGATACATTGGGAACTATCTCCGGCAACATCTAGTCATCTGGAAGGGATGCTTCATCTTAGGTGATTTTTCTAGGCATAAATATCCTAGATCTGGTTAGATCTGTTTGGACTCCTTTTTTTTGTCCGTCTTCAAGACTCCAGTGCTGAACACTGAGCTCATCACCTTGTGTTGTATCCTGTAAATACTAGCAACAGGAAGAGTTCCAATTTTTGTTTTATAGTTAGTTGTTTTTATGTTTAAAGTCTATGCGTCTAAAATGTTTCTTCTATCCTGAAGAGATATTTTGAAGTTTATAAAGCAATTGAAGTAGATCGGTCCTCCGTATAAGCTTGTTTCAACCATTCCAAACAAGGAGCCGTTGAAATTTAAGAATATGCAATCTCGTAGACAAAGTCGAGATATGTTGAATCATTCCCTTGTTAAGGATTTAATTACAATTTGTGCAAGTCCAAAATGGATGTAGTTGTATTTTTGTTGATGCCTTTCAATGGATTTTTTTTTTTCTTATAAGAGTTCGATTTTTTCATGCTCAGCATTTAGAGCAATAGTTTGTTCAACTAATCATATCTGATTTTCCATTGTTTACTATTTTGATATATTTCATGCTCTTGATACCTAAGAATTTCCTAGTTATTAATTTCGTGATTAATGTCTCGTATGTTTATTTCTTCTTTTAAACAAGTATTTGAACAAGAGATATTTGAAGAAATAAAATTTTTAAAACTAGATCTAAAGAAAGAAGCCATTAATAACAAAATTAAATAAGTAAATGATAAAATCGAAGATAAATAAGTAAATCAACAAAAAATACTAAGACGAAAGATATGTAGAGTTTCGCTTCCCCTTGGTACAGATCCTTCAGAATCCATAAGGGACAAACATATCATTTAGACAAATTATGACATAGATGGTATGGATCTAAAAGATCAGGTCTGACTTTAGAGCCACTTACCACCCTAGGTACTATCATTCTTCAAGGACCTATTTAGGCCTACAGGTCATATTGCCAAATCCCATTGTCTTACTGTCTAAACCGCCCTCAAAGGCTCTTAAAGTTTGTTGTTCGGGCGGCAAGATCTGAACTCGTAGATACATACTAGCAATATCATAACAACCTAAGCAACACATTCATCACTCCACTTCCCCCTCTGACTCTGATACCGGAGGAGGAAGTCCCTCGACATACTAGCAGATCTTGTTATGATACTCTTTGATAGGGGTATACGAAATGGTGACCAGCATTCACAACAGGCTTTATTCAACCAGCAAACATTCAAGCATGGCATCAGAAAAACCCAAAATCAATCAAATCAGGAGATCTATAAACAAGCCAGTTTGCAACAGAAGTCAATTACAACAGCAAAACTATCTCAATCATGGATAAACAAGAATTTGTCCAGCAATTGACAAATTCTCTCTCAACTCCAATCAAAAGGAAAACCACAAGTATCTAAACAAGAACCAAAGTCCTCAAGCTCAGAAGAAAGTTTTGATAGACTACAACAAAATGAAGATGATTGTTATGGGATTTTCTCACAAATTCCATAAATTTTACAAAAATAAACAATGTAGGAATTCATTGTAGTACCAGAAAATACTGTAGCAATTTGGCAAGTTACTATGTAAATACGGCAGAAAAAATTGCACTAGACATTGTAGTATGCACTGTAGTAGTACTGTACACTGCAATAAGTACTGTAGCCGAATGAAAATTTTGCTCTAAATACCCTTCAAACTCACCATTCTAAACACACTTTCTTCAGCTCACTTCTCTCTCTAAGTCGAATAAATCCTCCTCCTCCTCTCGAGAATACAAACAACTTACCCGAATATTCTTATAGAAGACAAACCAAACATCCTCCAAAACTCTTACAATGCAAACAATGTCTATGAATGGATCATAGATGGAGTTTCTGAATATAACATACTTGACATATAATAAGGCAGGAAAATCTGCTATGGAAGCCTCTTGCATTCTTCATTGTATATGGGTAACCTTGAAATACAACATGGTGAGAAAAATCTGTCACAAAGCCTCTTGCATACTTCACCATGCATGGGGGTTAATGTTTATGACAGATCGACGACTATTTCCATCTGGACAAACTAAAACACTTAATGAAGAACTATTTAATCAGTTCTAAACTTCCACACCCTAATGCATTTATCATTATTCATTGTAACAACTTTCTGCATCCCAACAGCTAAGCACGTAATAGGTGGTCTAGGAGCTATAGGCAGACGATCAACCTGAACATCTTCAGAGAGCCTTCTCACCTTCTTTGTTTCAATGATTTGATGATGCCTGTCTTTTGATCGACTTGATACACCAGTAGCATCGTCAACAATGCATCTTGAGAGTACTTGACCTGTATCCTGGTCCAGAATTCTTATGATACCATCTATACCACCAATGACTAATGTTGATGTGTCATTCCTCAGATGATTTATCGAATAAAGAACGTTGGGACTAACGCGTGTTTCCCATAGACGCCGTAATGTCCTGCAAGACAGGAGAACAAAATGTAACTCACATCTAAGACATACTCAAAACTTCTATAGTGGAAATATTCACAAACAGATGAAGAACTAGTCCTCATCTTGCATATTATTCCACAGAAAACCAAGATTTCATTGCGGCATAAATAAAGAATTATTGGGCCAAGCTAATTGAGTGCTGCAGCAAATCATAGCAAATATACTTTCCTCCCTCCCCCTGAAATGAGAATTCAAGTGCAGAAATTCAAGCTTAGCGAATCCCATTCCCTCTCATTTCTAAAGCCCCTGGCAATACTGTGTTGCAGGTTAGCTTCATAGGAGTCTCTATGATGACATTTATCTAACTGCTGATGCAAAAAGACTGGATTATTAGAGTATAACAAAAATCTGATGTGTTATGTACCTAGGATTTATAACAAAAATCTGATGTGTTATGCACCTAGGATTTCCTCCTATGCAATTATTTTGAGCAGACAAAAACAGCCCATGGAAAACTCAAAAGCAGAATATCATGTTAGAACGGTTGATGATCTTAAGACCTTATATCGAATAAAATGCAGCAAAAGAAACTTGCTATGGCAGTTCATTCATAATAGGTACACTAATTTCATTTTGGACATCCAAGAGCTATGAAAGATGATCAAGTCCAAAAAGAAGGGCAGAGACTAGCTAAGCCCTACCAGCTATGCAGGATCTATCAAGATCATGTTTGCAGTGCCATTCATGGGTCTAAGTGCTCCTTACATTCGCAACATAAATGACCTTGCTGCTCATGTTATTGCATGTGCTCAACTTGTCAACAAATAATACAGTTAGGCCTCGCTCATGCATAATAAGCTACTTTGGGATACTAAGATGTCTTGATTCAGTTGTTACTTTGTCTTAATCCTGCATCCATTGCAGATATGCTTGGTCCCAAATAGAAATTCTTTCTACCATTGGCTGTCAAAAGAATGTTAAAAAATTGGGTTTTCAATAAATTCTCGCTCTCGACTCCTAGCTTAATACATGAACATTAGACAACACACCAACCAACTCCATAACATCTGCCAGTTAGGATCTTTAAAAGTTGGTGCACAAGGAGCACTAGCTAGCAAGTTTAACGAGACTATACAATCATCCAATAGAGAAGAGTTTCAAGAACTACAAAATACCAAGTATCTGATATTTGAATCATGATATTTAAGTCAACAGGATGATGGAAGCTCCTGAATTAGCCAACTAAGGACTACTAATAAGGGTGCAAAACTCCAATGTTGCCATAGGCAGCAAAATTACTAAATGGACAACTTGCTAACCATCTGTGCATCAACCATTAAAACAACAGTTCCAGAGATACGGCAGCACTTAATCAAAATCTTATACAGAACTCTAATTTATCAAACAAATTCTAAGCAATTGATTATTCAATATCAGCATAGGAATTAATATGCTCCTGTGTCAAGGCTAAGAGAAAAAGGGCTTAGGCACTTGCATTTCCCACTATTAGCATGAGACAGAATAAAGGTTCATCAGAAAGACGAATTAAAAACCTAAACTTGTGGCAAACATTAGCATTTCTCACTTTCATAGTTCTAAGAGAACCATAATTCTACACAGCCAAGATTCGTGTAGTCATGTCGGATCAAAAGCTCATTACCACAAACAGTAGCCTCAAAGAAGCCACTGACAATATCAGAGAATGGGTTCAAATGTTTATCTGCTTCTTGCAAGTCTTTTCGTACCTAATATCCCAACAAGATGCATGGCCATCAGTTGATCCAGCAAACAGTAGATTGGAGCGAGGGTTAAAGCACAATGTCTTTATGCCTGTTGAACAAAAATTTGTAGTTGTCAGAAAATCAACAGATATGTTGCAATTCTCAATTCAATATCACAAGAAGAAATAGTTTTTCTAATAGGACTTTGTTTTAGCTCCCCAGAGAAACACCACAGGGGCACCAACTTGAGTAACTTAAACCAATTAGCTATGTTAAAGGATAACTACAGCTTTCTAGATCTTTAGTTACTAGGCTACAACTTTCTAGATCCTTAGTTACTATATGAAAAGTTGTCTTGCTTCTTATCTTTTCCCTTTAGGCATATGTTATTCAAGCAGGAAAAGAAAAGCATTATTCATGTTTCTTTAAGAATTGAAAAATGTTTTTGTCTCAATTACCATTGTTTGAAATTTCTCAATAAACAACCCTCCAAACTTTGGGAGTTGAAGATATCAAAGACAATATTACACCGTAAGTATTTCATAGGCATTTGGTTTCTAACCTCTTTCTGTAATGCATTTTAATAACATTGTACAATATACTGCTCAATTAAGGCAATCAGGTTCAAAATCCTTACATCAACGTTTAGGTGCATTAAACATTTATACATACTTAGCTCTAGAGATAATGCAAAAGCCTCCCACAAAGAAAGTCCTTTTGCTTAAGGATGGATTAGTTAAATTGATACCAATCTGAGCTGAAACTTTCCTCCTGCATGCAAGCAATCTGTCCCAGGAGACTTAGCAGGAGGAAAATGAGATACTTAGCCTTTGCACTGTTTCTAGTTACACTTCTGCTTAAAAACTGAACTTTGGTAAGAATAGTTGCGAACATCTGCTACTAACCACTTTTTGTTCAACAAAATATTCTCTACAGATCCATAACATCGTAGAGACATGCAGGACATATATATGAATGAGAGTTTCTCAACCAAAGGATTCTCATACAAAGAGATTGTAAGACCTGCAGAACTGAGTGGCTTCAGTGTGGTTACTTGCTGATCAGAGGAAATATCTGACATGGAAATACTTCCAAGAGAGGAACCAGAAATGAGTAACTGATCATCATTGAAAGATAAGCATGTAATTGGCCCAGGATGCATCCTGAAAAAATCAACCAAAAAGGAGTAGATTTTAGACTATTTTCCGTGAGCTGAGAAGATCAAGAAAACAAATCCCTTAATTCGAGAAAAGAAAATAAATCACTTAATTCCAGCTTCAAATTACAAACAAATATCAATCTCTCTCTCTCTCTCCACATTTTCCTTTCTTTCTCACATAGTTCTCGAGTTTTAGAGGAAACCATGAGTTTTAGAGGAACAATGGTTTCCTATTGGCTAGCATGTTTTGCCTGTTTGTCAGAAAAAGAAAGACTAGCTGTGCCTTGTTTTAAATATTTTCGCCCTGGAACATTATTTATGCCAAGTAACAAAGTGAATGACAAATTTGTCCTAGAATAGGAAAAAATGCCACTTCTCAAGTAAAACCACACATAACTCTTAGCAAAATACAGATTGAGTGGTACTTGTCATTGAACGGGTGCTTAAATGGTCCATTATGTCTAATTAATCTGAAATGGAACCAAAAAGCACAAAATAGGAGTGTACCTAATCCACAAAAGGAAACAACCAGTCAAACTATTAGCCCATCTTCAACATAATTGACCTCTAAGAGCTCTTAAAATTGGCTTGTCTCAATTATATCCCTGACAATGAAAATACCCTCTAAAAGCACATAATGAACAACTTATTGACTTTTTCTTGATAATTAGATTTCTGAATCATTAACTCTCGATTAGAATGTACCAACACCACCCACTAGCATGTTTGGCTTAGATATATTCATCAATGATAATTTTACATTTCCTTTGGATTTAAGGTAAGAATAACATAATTGTTACATTTTCTGATGTCATTGTGTTGAGAGAAAAAGAAACTGTGGTAGATACAACTTAAAATGGAACCTATCAAAAATGATGATGAAGAATTCGATAAATTAACAAGACAATTTTCATTAATATTTTAGTTCACATTTTGCAAATCACTTTCCTTTTCCTTTTGTTTTGTTTCATCGTATTGTCTTTCACATCATTTCTTCTTCAGTTTTTTTTTTTCAAATTTTATCCAACTTTCTGTTCATCCTTGGTTATCCCCCACTCATTTCTTGCTGCTTCCTCCTCTTTCCTTCTTCTGTCTTCTTCTTTATCTTCCTCTTTTCTCCCAGATTGTATTAAATCAAAATAAAACCCAAAATCAGTCAAGTTAAAAGTTAAACAATTCACGTACTTGATAATTTGAGAACACTTTCTGCTATACATGTCAAAAACACGAGCTTTGCCATCCTCACACCCAACCACAGCTTCTGGATCCACATAACTGCAAGCATGAGAAAATTCTTTCATTATCCGTGTTAATATGTTGGCATAGGTCCAACAACTATAGAAAATAATATAACGAGATCCAACTGGGTCGAAGAAACCCTAGAACCCATAACCCAGAACATAGCCTAAGACTGATTCTTCTTCTTCTTCTTCTTAGTATCACCTGATTTGGTCAATAAAATAAGCCATCATACAAGTGAGTTCGAAAGAAGGGTTAAAAACAAATAAGCCCCCTGTGATATGTCTAATACACAGAAAAGTCCCTCGTGGTTTCAAAACATACAAAACGACACCTCATGTTTTGAACTAAATTATAAACTAACAGAATTCGTTAAACTTAACGGAATCCGGTAAATTTAACGGAAAACTTAACGGAATGCGATAAAATTAACGGAATCCAATAAACTTAACGACAAACTTAACCGAATCTGGTAAGTTTAACAGCTGAAACCATCATTTTCGTTTAGTTCAACTAATTCTGTTAGTTTACAATTTAGTTCAAAACATGAGGTGTCGTTTCATATGTTTTGAAACCACGGAGGGCTTTTTTGTGTATTAGGTATACCGCAGGGAGCTTTTTTGTTTTTAACCCTTGAAAGAATTATCCCAGTGAGCGAGAGAGAAAAACCTATTGTAAATCGTTCACCACTCCAATTATACTGGGTCATACTCTTGTAAATGAATGTTCTTGTGATTGATAATGCTATTATTATCACGCACCTCATGCACAATCCCTTGGTAAACATGCCATCACGAGAAGAAAATATGTTTCTTGTCCCAGTACGCGTCCATATGCACATACGAGTCCCTACCAAACCAACAACCTATAAGACAATATCAAGACATTCCAAGATTACAACACAATCAAAATCCAGCTTGGACCAAACATAATTAACCTATTCATGGACAAGAAGCCACTGGACCCATGTGCTGTCCACATCCTTTAACCACAAAGCAAGAATTTTTATCGTGCCCATCACTCATAAGCATATTTTTGGCAAGGGACCAAACATCAAAAAAATTTAAGACTACCAATTTTCTTCATGGTGCCAATAAACATATGTGGGAAAATGACAGTCAGCTGATAGAACATGGAGCAAATCTTGGAATTGATCTAATTTAGTTGGCTGGGAAATGAATCAAAATAAGCTAACATAGAATAAATTTCCTTCCAAGAGTTTATATTTGTCAACTCTTTTGAAGGTTGAACAAGCTAGGACAAATTTCATAGCAATCTTGCAATTAATTAATGTTACCCTGTGGTAAACCCAAACCATCAAATAAATCAATAGAGGATTTCCAGAACAACTAATAAACATGAAAAGTCATCGAGCCATGAGCTCGTTATCTCTTCACTTATATATTGATCATATTCTATTGCAACAATTACGAGGCATTAAACTGCAGACTCTTCACATGAACCACCCTCAAATGCTGGTAATGCAATCAATACAATCAAGTGATTGTTGGAGTATGAAAAACTAAACTGCTTAGGCATGATTACTTGCACCTCTATGTGTAAAGGTATAAGAAGTGCCAAAAGCCAAAAATTGGCAGCTGATGAACACTGGCCCAAGTTATGCGAAGACTGAGAATGAATATTTGCTGACAACCAACAAAAGCCCCCACATCCAACAGAAAGCAAGACAAATAAAGGAAGATCTATCCTTGCCATGAAGTCTTCCATGTTAGTGAATTGATGTGACATGAGAAACCTGTATCGGCTAACCATCTGGCTCCTATGCAACCTCAAATTAGACATGTTCAATGAAAAGCCAGGGCAGCATTCACTTGAACTCGCAAAATGAAGGAGCAACAAAGACAAGCATTTGGTTTGTGCTGGTTAATATTAATAGCATAGAGCAATAAATGTTTCAAGTACCAAAATCCAAATTTGGCCCCCTTCTAAAGCCACATACACCACAATATACATTTCAGTTTTCTTGCTACAACCATTGGAGTTCCAATTTTACTTGGCTTACCACAACTTAAGTTCCGAGTTTACTTGGCTTACTAATATTCCACTAAAATTGTGTTTTTTCCACCATAAATCTTTGGGCCATGTGATTGTTCCTTATCCTTAGCTCCCTTTTAAAGAACATTGAATAAAAAGGCTAAGAACAAATCAGCTTATAGGCAGTAAAACATCAGATATTCAAGTTACCTTGTTCTCATCAAAGTCGAAATCGATTAAAGGGGCTTTATCAGGAAGGCTGTATTCATCCAAGAAATTGTAACTTTCTGCTGACCAGAGACGCATCATCTAGTATCATTAGCAAAGTAATAATTTCAGTTAAAACAAAGATGCAGATTGCCCCAAGGATCGAAACAGATGGATGCAGAAAAAGATGTGTAGGTATCTAAGTACTGATAACAAAATTAAACCCAAGGAACCATAGACGAAATTAGAAGAACATGAAAAATTTGAGACTCTTTAGTTAGACAAAATTGGAAAGCACAACGCCTGAAACCATATTTACCTTTAAACCAAATGGTACAGAAGCTAAGACAAAACTAATAGCTTGTTGTGAAGCTGAATGATTATAAAAAGAACAAATGGAATAATCGTGCATGAGATTGGAAAGTAAGCTAAGACGCAATGTTACAAACCTCAAAACTGTGCTCTACCTACAAATATATACATCCCGTTATCAGAATATTACTTTTCTTTCTTATGTTTCAACCATTAAAATCATAACCCCGGATAAATTAAACAGCAAAGGTTTTTCACCCTGAAGAAAATCATACACTCCTTGACCCTAAGCTCTAGCTTCCCTGCTTCTAAATTTAGTCAACAGCAGACATCTCTCACACAGTAAAAGAACAAGTTTTAGCTCATACACCCATTGACCCAGATCATCGAACATTCGGAAACCGCTATGCAGTAGAATTTGCCTTAATATATGTAATAAAGCATTGCCTTGGTGATTCACTTATTCAATGAAAAGAAGTTTCACTTCCAATTTCACAACCACATGTTGGTAAAAGTAAAAATTGAAATTTACCTTACCTTGTCACCCACACCAGTAAGAAACAGTCCCATCTTCATGCGGCACTTATTGACCCTAAACAAAAGCAAGCTGATTAAACCTACCAGAAAATAATCCAAACAAAACATACAAATGCCTCCATAAACTTCAAATGGGATAATTCTTAAAGAGACTGAGAGAAACTTAGCTCGCTATTGCTTGTAACAGATTTTCTAATTAATGCACAAGGAAGAAGACGAGAGGCTAAAGTGGCCAAGCTATATATATCTCATTCTTGTTATGCTATGAAATCCAGTAAACGTCAGAAGACAGAGAACACACTTACCCAACTGAATGACCTTTCCACTGGAAAACATTAGCAGGGCCTTTGTGAAAAGCAAATCTGTGCTGTTCAATAGCAATCTGCTCCATATGAATATTTAATGATCTTCCTAATTGTATAGATGCTGCAGGAAGGCTGAAAGCATCTGCATCTTGTTGCTTGTGATATTGTATTTGCAACAACTTGAGTTTGTTGATGACTGTACTCCTTATGAAAATCGAAACAAATAGGTTTTAAGTTTTTTGGGAGAAATATTGTACAACCACTATAAAGTAAGTTCACATACTGGACATAATTCTGTAGTTGTTGAGATCCATACACACAATGGGTGGGTTCACAAAAGTTTAACTACTTGGGGTTACATGCATGCAACCAATACTTATTAGAACCCATGAAAAAGAAATATCAGAGACTAATACTAATTATAAAGAAGATACGCAAGAAATGCAAAACAGCATACAAAATAGACCCGATTTTATTACAGACAATCTGCTTAGCGGACATTGAAGCCTCAAAGAATCAGTGACAAGCACCTTTGCCTAGAAATTGTCATTTAAAAACATCTTGATGTCCATGCGTGTTGATAGGCTGACATTGAAATCACTTCTAAAGAGTTGTTTACCAGTAACTTGAGAGCCAATCCTACTTAAGCTTAACTAACTGAATTCAGCATTCATATAAATAATACCAGACCTACGATTTAAACACAGGTCAGCGTTCCAGAACTGAATATTAAACAAGATCAATTTCGGTATCATGAAAGTAAGAGGCATCTAAAAAGCAGATGAGAAATTACTCTTAATGTGATAATTTAAGATGATAGCTGAAAATCAAGCCTCTGTCCATTTTATAGACAAAAAAAAAAAAACTCATTTTCGTGAGAAATTTTTGAGCAATGTGGAATTCGATCAACCGACTTAGCTACTACCCCTTAAACATGTACTGAAAATTCATTTCTAATATGAGTCATACCTCTTGCTAATCCACAGACTGAACTTTCTAAGGATATGATCTGAATAAAGCACAACCACTTCCTTTTTCTGCACCAACAGTATTTTGTGAAAAATTTTGAATTATCAGAAGCTTAATCCCCAACTAGATTATTATCTTGCCTTATAATAACTGGCCATCATTAACAAAATCAAACAAATTTCTAAGTCAACCAAGAACAGGAAAAGATAAATGGTTGGGGGGAGGGGGGGATGGGACTAATAATTTAACAGCATCTTAAAAGAGCTTCCATCTGCTAGTTCAGAGCACGCAAAACTGGTTCAGAAACTACTCCATCTAAAAGAAATAACAACACATTGAAAGCCCAATTAAGACTAAAGGCACTAACTTTAGCCAAAAATGGACTCAGAAAAACAAATGGGCATTGAGAAACGAGGGCAAAAGAACCAAAAAAAAAAAAAGATAGATAATAAACAAAAACAAGCTAAAAGCATGGAAAATTCTTGAACAACCAGCTGTCACAAAAAATACCATGATTTGCAGACAGCGGAGCAGCGGATGAGCTGGACGAGGTCAAGAAAGGTGAAAATCATGCAGAGTATATCGTGACTAAGGGCGTGAATTGTCGTTTTCTGCTTCTTCTTGGCCGCGGGCTGTGGCGGTGGACGGAGGCCGGAACTTGATAACTCCATATGGGAACAACTGAAAATTCGTTGCGAGCATTGTCCACTAACGCCCCGCCGTATAACAGTTTTATTTTTCTTTTTTGACTCTTTTATTTTTTATTATAATTATTTTTTGGGTAAATAATATTTGCCGCCCTTGTGCTTTGGGCAAACTACCATCACACCCCCCAGAACTTGGAAATATTACAATCATCCTTTTTAACTTACAGATAGGAAACATTGTCGAAAGATTTCTAGTTAGAACAGTAATACCCATGGCTGCAAAATAAGAAGTGAAATATATTTATATATAAAGGAAGACAAAGACCGAAAAGGCAAAAGCAATAAATTACAACGGGAGAAGCCAACACCTTCTCTTTGGCATTTGCAACTCTCAACCACCCAGTCCTAAATAAATAATTTTACCTCTACAATGTATAAGATTAGATTTGGCACCAGCACATTCAACCTCTCTGCATTCCATCCCTCAAGCCCCACGTTAATAAAATACCATATGCATCATCGATCTTTCGCCAACAAAACCTAAACTTTGCCCAAGATAGATTCAAGAAATACTTTGCTTCTCTAGCATCAAGCTTTGCAAATTTCTTCTACTTTTTAAGATACACCCTATTTATTTTTGAACTAATTATTCAAATGGGCACCAAACTTAAGAAATCGTAGAGTTTTGCCCCTGAATTATTAAAATCTGATTTTGATCACTGAACCACCTAACATTTAGATTCTAGACCATTCCTTCAGATTTAATTATTAACTATACCCCTTTCTATTATTTGGTAAATCATGTGAGCACTAAGTTCTAGCATAGTTATTAGTTAACGATTAAATCTAACAAATTGCTCAGAATCAAAACTTTAGATAGTTCAGTGGTTAAAACCATACTTTCAATAGTTCAATGGCTAAAAGTCAATAATTCTAAAAGTTTAGATAATTTGCTCTTATTTTATAGGATTCCTAACCTTATCCTATACCCCATCAGTTCATCTCAGTAGCCCTCAATTTCCCAAGCTCCTCTCAAATAGTTACATCTCACTTCTCAAACTGTAGTCTAATTCAACCAAAACATGAACTTTTATAATAAATTCCCTTAGCTTAGGAAAAAAAAAAAAAAAAGAAGAACAAATTCTCTAATTCGCTTTGTCTGTGGTTTTGCAATTGTATACATCGGTCCTTTGATTACATGGCCTTTGAGGCGTGTCTTTCAACTGGGTCTTATAGTAGGTTTAGAACAAAAGAAAATAATAATTGAAAAAAATAAGTGGAAATAGGAAAGGATATTGCAGGAAATGAAAAGGCGGATATAAGAGAAGGGAGGAGAGGAGGATACATGGGAGATGGAAGTCAACATCGTTATCTCCTGTATTTTTGGTTTACTATCTGATTTTTATGGTTTCTTTTTTTCCCTTTTTTTTTATTTAGGGTTGTTTTGGGAAGATTGTACCATTTTTTATCCTGCGTCAATCAGTAGGCGTCATTTTTTTGGGCAAATTACATATAATGCCCTTGTGGTTTTACATAATACCAGATAATCTCCCTAAGATTTTAAAATGGCCACATAACCCCTTTGTGATTTTACATAATGTGAAAATTGGACAGAATGCATAATCAATTATGATGACTTATGATGAAATCTTAATATCCATTTAACCTCCCTATAACTTGCATAAATATCCACTTTACCTTCTTATAATTTTTGCATTTATCCATATAATCCCCTTATGATTTTATACAGATAGTTAAGTTAGGTCATCGTTTGATTTAATATTTAAGTAAGGGTAGCGCTAGTATTTCAACTAACGCCATTACGTGTGCTATTTTTGTTTTTGTTAAATTTTTAGTTTACATGAAATCATAAGGAGTGAAATGGATATTTTGAAACATTAGAGGAATTACATGGCAATAGATAAAATCACAAGGCGGTTATTAGTAATTTACCCCTTTTTGGTTAAAAACAAGAAGGGTGTGTGTGTTATGGCCCTATCCAGTTAAAAGGGTGTGACTATAATATTTCAAACATAGGGGCTGTAGCGATAGTTTGGCCAAAGCACAAGGGAGGCAAATGTAATTAGACCTTTTTTTTTTTTTAATCTCACCTTTGCTTTTCATTATAAATTTATTTTATTATCGTTATTTTTAGTACTGTTAACCTACAACTATAATCAATATTATTATAATTTGTTTCTGGACGCATTTGGTAGAATTTTATTATGGTTGTATTTCAAAGGGTTAAATGCACTGAATCCTCCTAATAAACCTTATCCTTGTGCTTTGACCTTTGAATTCATTAAATGAGAACTTCGCCCCCCACCCCCAAATTTAATATTTTAAGACAAAAGTACCCTTACTATTTTATTTTGTTCTTTTTTTGTTTATTCAATCCTTTTTTTACTACTTTCTTTTATTTTTCATTTTTCATCTTTTATTATTTTCTTTTTTCACTTCTCTTATGTCACTATTTTGTTTCACTTTCCTAGTAGTATTACTAATTTGTTTTCTTATTATAATATTATAATTATTTTTTACTTATATTATTAGAAAATCCAAGATAAACTATAAAATATAAAAAAAATTGATATATGCCCATCATAATCAAAAAGCGCATATTACTAGCAATTTGACTATTTAAAAAGATATTAGAAAAGTAAAACTTTAAATTACTTAATATTTAAAAGTATATCCCCAAAAAATAAAGTAACTAATACTTTATCTACTTTTTTGTGTATAGTTGATTAAACATTAAGTTACTACGGTCTGAATTTATTACTATTCTTATTAAAATTAATTTAGTAATGTATGTAATGGTCTTTGTACATAGATACATATAATTTGTTATAGCATAGACTCTATGATCATTATTACTTTCAATAACAAAAAGTAAAAAAGCTAGAAATAAATAAAGAATACTTCTTAAAAAATTAAAATTAATATATAGATAATAACAACAAGAGAAGAAAATATACGATCACATGAAAGAAGGGAGAAACATTAAAATATATAAAGAAAAAAGACAAGTAGAAAAAGGACAAGAAAAGAGAAAAAAAAGAAATAAAATAATAATTAATATCGAAGGGGCACTTCTGTCCTAAAACATAAAATAGGGGGAAATTTATTTATTGAGTTGAGAAGATAAAGTGCAATTGAGGATAAAATTCAAGGGGTTTTAATGCTTTTAACCCTAATCTGAATTGTGCTGAAGGTAATTTATTATATCATTGAATTTTACAGAAAATTGCACCTTGGGCCCTTAAAATTTTCTTGTAATTTTTCTAATTCAACTCTTGAATGAGAATGTGTTTTTCTTTATTCACATGAGTATTGCATTTTGGTATGATTGTTATTGTTGAAAATATTTAAGTTGTTAATATACTTTTTCTAAAAAGAAATGAATATAATTGCCCATTTATTATGAATTTATATGAATCCTAAAAAAAACATGGTATTGATATTTGCATTAGAAGTTTCGTGTGATTTGATCATGAAATAAGTGACAAGTAATCCACATGCTAGTTAGTTTCTACTAGTAGAGTATAATATAATGCTTATAACAAACTATATAATCTAAAGTTTATGTAACAAGTATAAACAAGCAATATAAGTTATACAAAATTCCTTGTCAAGGCAAAACTTTTCAACTTTCCATTTCTATTGAATTCTTACATAAGATCTTGTTCTAGACGTAGAATAGTGTTCATTTTGTCCTTCCATTTTCTTATTTCGCTATAATTTTCTTGTCAATGTATTTCTCTAATGCATTTTACTACCAAACATTGTACTCATTTAGGTCAAACCCTTTTGGATTCAATTATTTTGGAAATATCCACACATTGAGTGACTATTACATATGTGATTTAAAGTTGTTTTCGTCATTAGCCAAGTATATTCTGCATGGATGTGGCTCCACCAATAGTTAATGTAATTATAACAAAAACCTTGCCAATATCAATTGGTAAAATTTCTTTGCTTCTATGTTGGCACTGTGAGGACCCGAATTTTATTTATTTATTGTCGCGCCCCATTTTTTGATAAAATAAATAAAATAAATGGTTTGAAAAAATGTATTTTGTGATTGGAGTTGTAATTGGAAAATGAACTGTGGTTTAAAAGAAAAATGGGTCTAAATGGGACTTTTGAAAATGCGACGATTTGACCCAAGAAAAATAGTTCAAAAAGGGTTTTTTATATGAAAAACGGAGTCGCCACTTGGTATAGAGTTAGGGTGTACCAAATCACCCAAAAAGTGAATTTTTTAAAGAAAAAAAAGGTAGAAAACCCTTTTGAACGACTCCTAGTCCACGTAAACCAACGAAAAAGGTTCGGGAGTCACATTTGACGAAGGGGAAGGCAAGGATAAAAATCCAAGGCACCCCTTCGACCTAGCCAAGGCTAGTTGCGTTGATTTAATCAAAGATTTTCTTGTTTTAACCAAAGAATTTATTACATTTGGATGTGCTACATGAATGCAAAACCCTAGACCTAGGGGGATTGGGGGAAATTTCTCTTCAAAGGTTGAGTGGTGCCAATCACATTAATTGTGAAGCCCAATAGCGATCCTTTGAAGAAGTCACGAATAATGCGAGTGGGATGCAAATGAATGGAATGCATGTATGCAATGTGAAGGCATGAAGTGAGAAAAATAATAAAAATAATAGGATGTAAGTGGAGGTGTGCAAATGTATTTATAAGTGTTCGTGTGCAAGTGAAGGGATAAAAAGGTGCATGGGTGCAAATGAGACAAAAGTGAAAGTGTGCAAGTGAAGGGATAAAAGGTGTACGTGTGCAAATGAAGGGATAAGAGGTGTAAGTGTGCAAATGAGAGGAGAAGTGAAAGTATAAAATGATAAAGTGGAAAAATGCATGAGCCCAGGGAATTCATGCATATTGGGTACGGGGAGACCTAAATCGTGACTCAATTTGCCCTTTTGTAGAGGGAATACAAGCGTGCTAAGGTTTAGAAAAAGCCACACTCGTCTATATCCCATATTTAAGGGGATTTTCACGCAAATGAACCCTAACTAGCATGAGATGCAAGTCCTAAAGTGAAGGGGAAGGGGTTTGAGGAACATACCAAATGATAAACT